GGGGTTCCAACATCTGTAGTCAAATAGACTGCAGTATTCCCAATTCCTGTGTAATGAATATGCAGGTTTACACAACTAGGCCATCATATATACTTGCCGTACATGTGTATCAGTGTTGTTTGTAACACAAGTTTGATGTTTGTAAGGATCCTCCTCTGTGTATATTTTAATAGCATTTTCTTTTTAAAAAATGTTGGGTAATTCTGTATTAAATCATCTTTATTCCTTTCAGTTTCATGTCAGCAATACTTAGGCTGCAGTAAATTCTCAATTTTATGTTTTCTTTGAGGGGTGGTCGATTTAATCTTGAGGAAAACCTTAAATAAAATTAAAGGAGAACAAAGTAGTAACTAGTTAGTTCATTGTGCATGAATATATTTCACTACGAATCACTTTGTTTCCTTCTTGCACCTAAACCACTGCTAAAAACAACTGTAGTAACCATCACCAAATTGCATGCTTCAAAGCCATAGAAGGCTTCACCCCCTCTTATCAAATGGCTCTAAACCACCAGTACAATGTTGCTAGCTTTTTCACTTGCAAGTTCTGAGCTGTTTTCACTTTCCTGGACCGTGCTATTCATGTTTCTGTGACCTTCAAGCTTACAGTTTGGTGGCGGCTACTGTAAACTTCTTGTACATACATGTCTTAAGCATACCTTCTTTGAGCTAACTATATTGTTTTCATTTGTTTTTTGTTCTTATTATTGTTTTTTAATGTACTGTTGTTGGTTTGCAGGGAGAGATTAATCCATCTTCTAGCTGTGAGGCCATACAAAAAGCCAGAATTGTATGATAGGATTAACAAAGGTACAGTCTACTAATTTTGGTACTTCATATCATATTTAGCTTTGTAAGTCCTCTTATCTATATATTACATTATAAATATACCAGTTTTGCCGTACCCATGGACCTAACATTTTTCATAGCTTCTCCAGTTCTGTTTCTCTTCAGAATAGTTTACGTTGCTTGTTCTTTTTGCATCATGAGTTTATTCCTGCCATGGTGGCTAAATCATATCAGTCTACTAATGACTCGGATACTGCTCATCTTTGCAATATATATATTAGCAAGTGTATGGTCATGTCTTTGGAAGCTCTTTTTCATAATAATTTCATTTTGTTATTAATTCTGCACAGTCTGTTCTTCAAGATCCATATAAACCAGATAATATTTTTGGTACTATTTTTGTAGTCTTTGATCATAATAATCATTTTTGGATCAAAATTAAGTAAGATATAGTGCAATTCTTGTAATATGTAATAATTAAAATATGTTTTCATTGTATAGTGATTAAATCATCAGTAAACTAACTGTTTGTTGTTAACTGAAGAGGTATGGTATGAATCTCTTTGATAACGTTAACTTTTATCACATTAGGGGATTAAAATCCTTGTAAGCCTACTACAAGGTTGTTGGCAGAACTCCAGGGTTAATAGTTTAGCAGTTTACTAGTGCGCAACACATGTAAGCAGTGACACATAGGCAATAAGCATTAGGACTAGATGCCTACAGTTTGCAAGTTACATTTCATGCAAACAAACATTAAATACCATATTGGTGTAGAAGACTTCAGGCATCTTAATGGTGTATTGCTAGTGCAGATCCTGTTTCTGGGTGATGGCATCATTCAGAAGTAGGTTGTGTGCCAAACATTTTGGAATCACCCTGAAATAGAATCTAATTTATCATATTATTATGTTAATTAAACGAGGGTCTAAGAAGTTGAGAAATTTAAAAGTATGTATTTGTTCCAGATGGTTTGCGGGAGAGGGATAAGAACAATTTGACGTCTATCCTAATGCAGGTAGCTGTCATGCGGGACAATACATACCAGCTCATCCGCCATGTATGGAATGATGTTCAAGAGGATTGGCCATTCTATTCAGAACAGGAGAAGCAGTTACTAAAGCGGTCTGTATCAAAATCTAATGCTAGATTATGCAGTGTGTAGAGTCATGGAGTATATACAGAGTATTCCAGTTAAAACATAACCCTATCTACTACACATAAACCCCTTCATGCACAATGTATGTTTGTGAAGTATCTTTAAGTGTATGAAATTTAAGGTACATTTCAGACCAATCCTACTGTCACAGGCCACTATAAATTACTTTCATTTATGCCTTATTATGGAAATAGTAATGTAATGTAGTTTGTTGGAACTGATGACTGCATTTTTTCAGAACATGTTGCTTCATGTTCGCCAGATTCGGCAAATGAAGGTATTCACTGTCTGTTCTAACCATGTCATCACTTCATCAGTATTTTCTAGCACTTTGCTCAATTTTGGTCTCACCACGTTACAGGAATCATCACCACTATCTTCTGATTCACTTCCTGCATCACTAATTCCAAGTTTGTTGGTTGTCTTCCCAGTTTTCACAGAAGCTTCAATATCCTCTTAACTAAGATATTGCATAACAGAAGTTTCTGCATTTACCTCCGATCTGAGGTGCCAGGTTGTCTGCTTGTGAATTAGTTCTGAGCGAATAACACGCAGCCATCTCATCTTGTTTTTAAAATGTAACTAACTTTGTCTCATCTGCCATCATGTCATCTCACCCAATACACTTCTTCCGGCAGTTTACAATGTGTGTTGTATAGTTCTTGTAAAATTACAGTTTTACAAATTCTACAGAGGTTTTTTCTGTATTCGTAATGAAATAATACTGGAGCTAGACAATAGCTTTGCTGTTTTTGACTCTTTACATTCTCTCAGAAGACTTGCATTCATTGTTCTTTGGTTCTTCAAGAACTTTGTTCAGGATACTGCTTTCAAAATTTGTAGAAATAAGTTCACACCCAATCAGCTGGCCTTAGAATTTTTATTGTGTCTGAATTCTTTTACCCATATTTCTTATTTATTGGGAAAATTGTTGATTATGTTTCACATTGTTTATTATTGTTCTGCTAGATGGTGATGATGCTGATTAACTTTATCTTTACAGACGTAAACCACAGAACCTGACTCCGCCGGGAAGTAGTGATGGTGGCAGTTCGGGTAGTGGGCAGTCTCCCACGAGCACGCACCCAGGTAGTCCTCCTTCAACTATCTCCTCCTCATCCAACATGAAGAGGCCAGGTTACATCGATGGTGCAGACGGTCTGCCAACAAAGCGCAAGCGCATCTCTCACTACCGCAACAAACCAACAGAACAAGCACCTGTCACATCCAGGCTACCAGACTCAAGCCAGCAGCAACACAGCGCACCTGCAGATTCGTCATCACGATCTGATGAGTTTTGTCGGAATAAGGACCGGGACAAAAGCAGGGATATCATGAATACGAACCCACGTAGCAGAGAGAATGGTGGCAGTAGAGCTAGTTGTGGTGGCAGTGAGGCGTTGCTAAGGAATAATGGATACAACAGTCATAATAACTCACTAGTGTCATCAGCTGTGAATGGAAAGTGGAGCAGTGGGCCAGAGAACGAGGAAAATTATGACAGACGAAGTGGTATTAGTGCTCAAGGGGGCTATGATAAAAGTGCAGTGGCCAACAAGGCTCATTGTGAATCAGTGGCATCTAATTCATATGGTGGGAGTGGTGTTATTGGTGGCACTAGAGTGACATCTGCATCAGTAGATGATTCCTCTGGTTTTTGGAATAGGCCAACAGAGAATGGAGTGCTCAGTCAATCGACAAGCAACCGAGGTCATGGTGGTCATCATGACAACCGTAGTAATAGATGGACAACTCAGGTTTCTTCAACAACTCAGAATAGTTCTGCCAGTGGTTCCAGTCCTGAGTGTCAGTTGGAGAATATGGACACAGGATGTGAGAAAGAGGCTAAGGAGAAGACTTCTGCGGGCAGCAGTTCCGAGTATCCAGAGTATCTTCTGTGAGTATGAAACATGAGTAGATTCTTGGGTAGAGATATAGAGTATAGCTAAATATTAGGTAGTTAATTTAATTTGTACATTGTACCTTCCATCACTACTGTCCAACAGCATTTTCTCTTTTGAAGTACTCTCAGATTCTAACACATCTTTTCCAACCAGGTCTGTGGAGTCGGAGTCGGTAAAAATGTACCGACTCCAACTCCGACCTCGATATAAAATCTTATGAACACTTTCGCTACCATGTGAGCCGCCGGTGGCCTCATGCTCAGGAAGATTCAACAACATGTTGAGCCACGTAGTGTGAGAATAATGCTTTGTAAGAAGATTTCTGTCTTCTAGGTTGTTGCGCTGTGTAGTCTGGTCGACCAGCGCAACAACCCAGAAGACAGAAATCTTCATACTCACCGCTGTGAAAACCTGAAATCTTACAGTGGCTCCGGTACCTTAAGAATACAAACTGTCTACAAATCAACCGATTTCTGCAATAACCATTAGACTTATACTTAAATATATGTTATAAGTCTAAAACGTGGTGATGAAATCTCTTGTGGTTCCATTTACAATTTTAGTAGGTTTGCCATTATTAATACATTTTGAGCTTTTATGAAGGAGACGGAGTTGGAGGTTTTAGTACCGACTCACAGCTCTGCTTCCATCACTCCTCCTATGGGTTTAAATGCCTGTTGAAAGTTGCCTCCTCTTTGATATCCTTAAAATTGCCATTGTCATGTCAGTGCAAAGGTCATCAAAAAAAGTATCTGTAACCTTTCAGCTTAATTTTTAGGCTTGGGTGTTTGAATTTTATTTTATCCCTTCACAAAAAGTATGGAGCATGGGGTAACAGTTGTATATTGTCTGTTGCATAATTTGAGAGATATGCAACTTGATATTGTGGTCAAAGGGCCATATCCTGTGAGTATTTTTTTATGGTTCATGCAGTACAGTCTTGAATGTAAGATTTTGGTGTTTGTTTCTGTATTCATTTTAGTGTTTAATGGGATGTAATGTGTAAGATGGCCTGTATAACAAAAATGTGTCATTGGTTTGCAGAGCACCCCAAAATGATTTGAGATTCTATAAACCATTGTTTGGAGCAAGTAGACTGCACTTTGAAACCCATGGCAACAGTTACAAGATGCGTCTCCTATAGAGAGTAGCAATAAATTAATCTGATAATATTCTCATTTATATATATATTTATTTTTACAGTCCATACACAAACGTTGAAGTTAAATGATGTTGTTAACTTGTGTTTGATTAAATATATATTTATTTTTACAGTTCATACACATATTATATTTGGCGCTTTTAATCGTAAATATTTACGATTAAAAGCGCCAAATATAATATGTGTATGAACTGTAAAAATAAATATATATTTAATCAAACACAAACATGACGCATTTAAGCTACAAATTCTCATTTATGTTCAGCAATGTGCATCTTGAAACCATCATGACTCTGCAATGGTTTTAAATAGGACCAATGTTGTATTGACGATTTTGACTCAGAACTACCGCCTGAATTACCACTTGTTGAATGACAGAGTGATTGTGAAACATCCTGTAGAAAAAATTATTTTTTGTGTTCAGTTTCTATGCATTGTCACTATACACCTCTAGAGGAGCCAAAAGTAATTCACAAAATTGTATATATTTAACCCTTTCCAAGCCTTTTTTCTGTCTGCAAGCAGAATAGTTCTTGTAAAAATAAATAATATCGTAAAGCATGCATAGAAATGTTCAAATGTACCAAAACTAGAAGATAAATAATGATAGATGAAATTCATGATGCAGATGATCTGTTGTCTGTTGTCAGAAAAAGAAAAAACCATGATGCAATAATTATAACTCATATTTTTAGTGCAAAAATGATATTACATTGCACCTATAACTAACATACTGCATGGAGCAGAATCTCCTCTAGAAGCTTACAGTTACCTCAACTTATATTTTTATAAACCATATTGGCAGGAAATGTGGGTAGGCACTGGAAGTGTCAGTAAGTCATTTCCGATTTAGACGGCTGTGTCACTGCCTATAATGAATATTATTTACAAGAAACTGTCTTTTTACCACAGGCATTATAGTTCAATACGTGATAGTGAGCAACGCAGACAATATAAAGCTGACTTTACTGCAGACTACAGTGAGTACAGGGACCTCCATGCTGAGGTGGAGAAAGTGTCAAAACGGTTTGCTG